TTCATGCTAATTTCAAAGGACTTTTTGCAGACTGGTGATCGTAAGAGCAAAAATTACCAAGATTTCATCTTCTGAAAAAGCAAGAAACCAGTTGTTTTTTTGGGAGCTATTCTGAATTCTAACTGGGTCTAAGCAGCAGTAGATAAGTATGTACCACTATGCTGGAGTTTCCCCATCTCAAATTCTAATTTTCTTCTGTCCTCCTCCATGCTCTCCCCACCCCCTTTAGCCAGGTTCTCTTGCTTAAGCCAACTATATGTTCCTCTGTAGCCCATGGCTTATCATGGGATATGATTCTCCATACCAGTTCAAGATGTTACAGAATCTTGCTATGTGTCTTTACAAAACTAAGGAAGAGCTGTTTGGAAAGCTCACAGCTTATGTGAAGTTTTTGTTTATTTGTGTGACTATGTCATCTCTATGAACAGAGACCCTCTCAACCCACCTGAGTAGTTAAATCCTTTTTACAGTACTGCTTCCACCAGATGGAAGTTAGGAACAAAAAAGTGGGAGGCTTAGCAGTACCCTGGGACACTTTTTGTACGTCTGCTCTTGTAGTACAGTCAAGGAACACTGAGTGTTAAGTTGATTGTCTTCCATATATTCAGTGTATATTATGACGAAGATGTTACTGATCAAAACAATCTCTTTGCTGAGCTGCACTGGGGAAGTCAAGTGCAGAGCAAAGCAAAGATGTTTTCATCTGTTTATAGAAAAAAGTCCAGTGGAAGATTTGTCTGCAGGAGAGTAGTATAGCTAGTTACTACATATTAGAGATACACAAACAGTGGAATATGCAATGAACTTTCTCAAGTTGAAAAAGAGTTTGAATTTAAAATAGACATTTTACATTTTAAAAATATTTCCAAACATTATTGGACCTTCATATTTCTGAACAGATTGTTTTACTCTTTTCTTATTTTCTCAGAATGAACTAAGTTAAAAGGCTTTCACTATTTTTATTTTTTTTCTTTCACCACTTTATTCCTTTTACAAAACAAACAGAATAGCAAGACAAAAATTGGAAGTGGAAAATGAAACATAAATGCATTTAATTCTGTTACAACCCAGGTGATGAAAAAAAGTTATCATTGTGAAGTGTCAGTCTTTGATTAAAACCAGATATTTTTGAAGGAAGAAGAAAGTTCTTTTCCAATAACAGAGTA